TGTAACAATTGCCATCCACTTGTAACAACTACCTTGTAACAACTGTAACAATCAAGATTGTAAAACTATAAGTAGTAGAGCAGAAAAGGGAATAGGACATTGATTCTTTCGGCATTAAACTCTCTCTCCCTCTCTCTCTCTCTCTCCTTCTCTCTCTCTTTCTCTCTCTTCTTCCAAGAATTCAGGAGGTTGGCCCCTTGAAGAGCCCTGAGTTAGGCAGGTTCCTAACAATTTGGTATCAGAGCCAGCATGACCAACACAAGAAACACGTCAGTAGACACCCGAGTGGATCAGATGGAGGTAGAGATCCATCGAATGTCTTCAGATCTCAAAGAAATAAAGGAAGGCTTCACTGCTCTCCTCCTTCGACTGGAGCAGGGGGCAACGAACATTGATAGAGGAAGCCAAGAAGAGTGCAGCAATGAAAACAGCCGCACAACAGGGGCAGCAACAAGAATAGCCAAAATCGACTTCCCCATCTTCTCAAGCGGCGACCCAACTCCCTGGATTCTCAGAGCCGAAAGGTATTTCGATTACCATGAAACACCGGGGCAAGATAGGGTAGCTCTGGCTTCTGCGCATCTTGAACGGGAGGCTATCCTCTGGTTTCAATGGTACCGAAGGGGGCACCCTCGTCAAACCTGGGCAGACTTCACGGATGCCATGACTGTCCGTTTTGGATCATCTGGGTTCGAAGATCTTGATGAAAGTTTGGCAAAGCTGCGACAGGTGGGATCAGTAAAAGAATACCAGATGGAGTTCGAAAGGCTGGCCATGAGAGTCCAAGGGTGGACGGAGAAGGCGTTGGTGGGAAGCTTCGTCGGCGGCCTAAAAGAAGAACTACGACTGGAAGTGAAAGCGATGCAGCCCACTTCGGTCATCAATGCAGCAACACTAGCCAGATTGTATGAGGACAAGTTCAGTCAAGCAAGAAAGGTGCAGCGACCATGGGGTCCCGGAGCAAGAAGGGAGCAAGAAAGGACGACAACACCAGACAAGGAGGAAGGAGTACTGGGCCCAGGCCCACTGGTTCCTTTCAAACGGCTGACCTGGGCAGAGATGCAAGCCCACAGAGACAAAGGTCTCTGTTACAACTGCAAAGAGAAATTTGGGTCGGGCCATCGCTGCAAGAAACAACAAGCGTTTCTCCTCCAAACAGATGCCAAAGAGGAAGACGACATCACCGGTTGCGGAGAATCTAAACCAAGGTGGGAAATACAATCCAATGGCACGCCTGAAATATCCTTACAAGCCCTTACGGGACTTGCGTCCCCTCAGACAATGAGAGTTGCAGGGCTGATCCTAGGACGCCAAGTGTCAATCCTCATAGACAGTGGCAACTCCCTTAACTTCATAACTCAAGTCTTGGTGGATAAAATGTTCACAAAATGGCTTTCAGGACACATGATGGCCACTATGAGTTCCGGGTCATGCCATTTGGGCTGATCAATGCTCCAACCACATTTCAAGCATTGATGAATGACATATTCCGGCCATATTTACGTAAGTTCATCCTTGTTTTCTTTGATGACATATTGGTCTACAGCCCCAATTGGGAGGAACATCTGAACCATCATCAGGTCACCCTTGCAACACTTGAGGCCCACCAGCTGTTCGCTAAAGAGTCCAAGTGCTCCTTTGGACAAAACCAAGTTCACTACTTGGGACATGTTGTAGAAAAGGGGACTGTAGCGGCTGACCTAGATAAAATCTTCAGTATACTGGGCTGGTCGCAACCCAAATGTGTGAAAGAATTGAGGGCCTTCTTGGGACTGTCCGGATACTACCGCTGCTTCATCAAAAACTACGGCCTAATAGCTACCCCATTGACCCAATTGCTGAAACAAGACGCTTTTAACTGGTCAAACCAGGCCCAACAAGCTTTTGAGCAATTGAAACAGGCAGTTGCGAGCCCTCCAACATTAGCACTGCCCGATTTCACAAAAGATTTCATCATTGAGT